GAGAAAAAGAATCATCACAACCAATGTTTGTGTTACCCTCACTACAATGCAACAATGTATCAAGCATCGACCAAGAAACATTGTGCTTACCTTTTGTTGTGACTTCTCCTTGAGTGGTAATTTGCTGATCAACAACAGAAGTAGACGGAGAACCTTCGAGAAAAAAAATCATCACAACCAATGTTTGTGTTACCCTCACTACAATGCAATAATGCACTAAGCATCGACCAAGAAACATTGTGCTTACCTTGAGGTGTGACTTCTCCTTGAGTGGTACTTTGCTGATCAACAACGGCTGTAGACGGGGAATCTTCGAGAAAAATAATCATCACAACCAATGTTTGTGTTACCCTCACTACAGTGCAACAATATATCAAGCATCGACCAAGAAACAATGCGCTTACCTTGAGGTGTGACTTCTCCTTGAGTCGGACTTTGCTGATCAACAAGAGGGGTAGACAGAGAACCTTCAAGAAAAAGAATCATCACAACCAATGTTTGTGTTACCCTCACTACAATGCAACAATGCATCAAGCATCGACCAAGAAACATTGCGCTTACCTTGAGGTGTGACTTCTCCTTGAGTGGTACTTTGCTGATCAACAACAGGAGTAGACGGAGAACCTTTGAGAAAAAGAATCATCACAACCAATGTTTGTGTTACCCTCACTACAATGCAACAATGCATCAAGCATCGACCAAGAAACATTGTGCTTACCTTGAGGTGTGACTTCTCCTTGAGTGGTACTTTGCTGATCAACAACAGGAGTAGACGGAGAACCTTTGAGAAAAAGAATAATCACAACCAATGTTTGTGTTACCCTCAATGCAGTGCAACAATGTATCAAGCATCGACCAAGAAACATTGTGCTTACCTTGAGGTGTGACTTGTTTTTGAGTCGTACTTTGCTGATCAACAACAGGGGTAGACGGAGAACCTTTGAGAAAAAGAATCATCACAACCAATGTTTGTGTTACCCTCAATGCAGTGCAACAATGTATCAAGCATCGACCAAGAAACATTGTGCTTACCTTGAGGTGTGACTTCTCCTTGAGTCGTACTTTGCTGATCAACAAGAGGAGTAGACGGGGAACCTTCGAGAAACAGAATCGTCACAACCAATGTTTATGTTACCCTCACTACAATGCAACAATGCATCAAGCATCGACCAAGAAACATTGCGCTTACCTTGAGGTGTGACTTCTCCCTGAGTCGGACTTTGCTGATCAACAACAGAGGTAGACGGAGAACCTTAGAGAAAAAGAATCGTCATAACCAATGTTTGTGTTACCCTTACTACAATGCAACAATATATCAAGCATCGACAAAGAAACATTGTGCTTACCTTGAGGTGTGACTTCTCCTTGATTCGGACTTTGCTGATCAACAAGAGAAGTAGACGGGGAACCTTCGAGAAAAAGAATCAACACAACCAATATTAGTGTTACCCTCTCTACAATGCAACAATGTATCAAGCATCGACAAAGAAACATTGTGCTTACCTTGAGGTGTGCCTTGTCCTTGAGTCGTACTTTGCTGATCAACCATAGGGGTAGACGGAGAACCTTCAAGAAAAAGAATCATTACAACCAATGTTTATTGTGCCTGCTCACAATGCAACAAGGTGATATGTATCATTTATTGACTAAGAAACAGTGTGCTTACCTTTTGTTGTGACTTCTCCTTGGGCCGTACTTTGCTGATCAACAACAGCAGTAGACGGGGAACCTTCGAGAAAAAGAATTGTCACAACCAATGTTTGTGTTACCCTCACTA